CAGTTGCTTATCTCGTATGCCGTAAAAAAAAAAAAAAAAAAAAAAGAAAGAAAAGAAGCAATACAGCAAGTCAATGTAAAACTAACCTTTGGATAGAAACTTCTTTATACTTAAAAACAATGAACTATAGAATTTCAAGGGCCACTATCTTTGTTGACAGACAAACTTAAATGAGTTACATATAATTTAAAATACCATATTTTCCGTGAACAAACAAACATATGTTCTTAGCAGTGTGTGTGTGTGTGTGTGTGTGTGTGTGTGCTTTCTGTTTTACAAAATGAAATGAAGCTTGCTTAGATAAATGAAGGTAAGTCATTACCTACGTCTGAGTTATTAGAAGATTCGGGTGCAGCAAGTTATAAAACAGGAAGGGAGTATGAGTTATCTGATTACACAACTATTATAGCATGTTACAGAAATAGGACAAGTGAGTATTTTACAAAGATGTATTCCATCAAGAACTGAAGGTAAAAGTAACTGTAGATCAGGAGACTAATCTTCAATTTGGCATTCCTGCTACATAAAATGGCCTGCTTGAGATTTTTTTCCCAGCTCAAATTTTGGTCAATAAATCCTTTTATTCTTTACATACAAGGTACTGAAAACAAAGTCATTTTCTTTTTGCCAGGTCTTTATTACTAAAGGGAGCTCTGGTGCCCTAGTGGTAAGGAATTGTACTGCCAACCCAAAGACACATGGGTTGCTGCTCTGTGGGAATAAGATGGGTAATCTCCTCCCACGGAATTTACAACCTCTGAAAATTTTCTAGAGAGATAGGACTTGATGAAATCTAACAACAGCAACAATTATTATTTAAAAGACAAAGATGAAAGGTAGCTATACTGACTGACACAAATGTTGTAAAACTTTTTTACTATCAAACAAAAATTTGTTTTATTATTAAATAAAACAAAAGTTATAAATATAAACAAAGACATTGACTTTTAATGTCTAACATATAATACGTTTCATGTATGCATTTATTAGGTGAAAGTTTACTACATATACCAAAACAGTCACATTATGTTTAATATAATACTTACATAAAATAGAAAAAGTTAACATACAATTGAGAGAGATATCAAGAACAGTAGTTCCCACATAATATTAGTTCTTAAAGGTAGCAGTAATGATTTAATTTCTTTCCAGTCAAAAACAATTAGACTGACTAAACCTTAAAGATTAATAACATAAAAAATCGATTATTATTCATGCATTGAATATATGGTACCATTTTTTTGTTGTTGCAACAGTTGTTTTGCTATATTAAATTTAAACCTATACCTTTTGTACCAAGGAGAGAATATTTTACTCTTGTGATTAAAATTATCTGTGTCACAAGTCAAACAGTAAAGGTAGTTCTAATGAATGTTGTTGTTGTTGTTGTTATTGTTGTTATGTGCCGTCGAGTCGCTTGCGACTCATAGCGACCCTAAGTACAACAGCCCTACACTCCGCTCTGTCCTGTGCCAATCGCACTGTCTCCGACACTCCCATCCCAATTATCCCAGTCACTGAATCAATCCACCTCATAGAGGGCCTTTCACTCCTGCGCCATCCCTCCACCCTCCCAAGCATGATGTCCCTCTCTAAGGACCGGTCTCTCCTCACAACATGTCCAAAGTATGTTAGACAGAGCCT